TCGACTGTGATTGGTCAATTTCTTACTCTTACTTCTTACTCCGTGTATTGTAGATTGGCCTTTAATGACGGCAGTGCGGACTGCGGAGGGCTTGTGATTGGTTCGACTGTGATTGGTCAATTTCTTACTCTTACTTCTTACTCCGTGTATTGTAGACTGGCCTTTAATGGCCGTAAAGCTGGAAACACAATAGACACAGGCAATAGGCACAGGCAACAACACAGGGAATAACGAGCCGTCCAATCAGAGCTTTGGAGTTTAAGTTCGATATTATATCCCAGAGCTCTGATTGGACGGCTCGTTATTCCCTGTTGCCTGTGTCTATTGTGTTTCTAGCTTTAGGCTGCCCGCCATGAACGTCCTCGGAAAAAAAAACGTCCATATTCGACCTGCTGGAACGCTGCCATTTTCAACTTTTTTCGGAAAAAAAAAAATTTGTTATATACTACATTATGTGTGGAATAAACCCTTAAAACGATGTTTTGATTTATTTAATAGTAGCGGAGAAAACAATTCAAAAAATAACCCTTTCTTTTTGATGCGCAAGAATGATATAACCCCTTAACAAATTCGTTCTTAAAAACTTCTAATAAATAAAATGATATGTCCGCTTATTCGTGGTGTAGATACATGTTTTTATGCTAATATTTTATCTCCTAGAAGTAATATTGTGTCACATAAGATTTTTTTTATTTTTTTTTTTTTATGAAGCTACGAAAGCACGTATAGAGCCCAATTTTGCAAATTGGTTTTTGAAAAATTATAACAAATAAAATTATGTGCACCTCAACTGCACTATAGTACACATCTAGTGAGATATCACAATAAATTTTTATTTTACTTTTTTTTTCAAAAAAATCGCTTTATACGAACCTTAAAAAAAATTCGAGAACTATTTTAAATATTAGAATATGTCCAAAGACACACTTGTAACGAGTAATTATTTACTCTCTGTATATTAGATAATATATATATCAAATAACAGATCTAAGAATTGAACACTAATTTTAATAAAAATATGTACTTCATTTTTTACTGTAATATGTTCTTTATTTATTAATAAATTCTGTGCTTAGCACTGAAAGTTTACATTTTACGTTATGATCTTCATTGATACGTAAAATTAGGGGCACCATATTCTGTTAATTCTAAGATACTAGATTTAACAACGAATGTATGTATAATTTGTATTTATATATGTATAATACACATATACATCAATAATAGACATCATGCAGATGCTAGTCGCAAATATTCATAATTCACTATATCACATGTCTTTGACAAACTATAAGTGTACGTTTGGGGAGATGCTATTAGCACTATATTTGTATCATTCTATCTTTATCATTCATTATACACATAAAACAAAGATAAAATGGTAAAAAAAATAGCGTCTCCCCAAGGCATCCTAAATCGACAATATCAAATCACATATAAAAAGTGAAAATCAACAAAACTTAATATTACGATTTATTTAACTACGTAAGTTTCTGTCTCTTTCGTGCTTCTCATATCCGCGTAGTAATGTAATAAAAATATGAAAAGCAGAGAGTAACAACAACACGAACGCTTTCTAATAAATGATGCTTAAAATAATTATTTCTCATTGTCTAACTTTGACCTACACCAAGCGGAAATTATTCGCATGAAAGGTAAAAATTTCCAAAAGTCATAAATATCTGCAATATGCAG